GTGTGTGTGTGTGTGCTGTGATAAGTTGAATTTGTGAATTAGCTCCGGAGGAACTTTTAACTAAAATTACATTATTAGTAGTATTATTAATAATGATATTAGTGATTATCAGGTGTGTTTCTGTGTTTGTTGTGACTCACGTTGGTCCCATCTAGTCCTGCAGGACCCGAAATTCCCATCGGACCAGGGAGACCCTGTTCTCCCTGCAGACAGACATTTAAAATGTAATTCACCCCTCAGAACCCTCAGACCCCTCAACCCTCCTCTGGTCCTGAAACAGAAGTATTATTCCTTCTGCCAACATGTTGCTGCTTCTTTTTGGTTGTTATCTTCAGTCTTTATTTAGCTTATTTTTTTTCTTTCTTCTTTCATGCATTCTTGGACAGACATTCTTTGGATGCTAGTTATCATACGTTTCAAACCGTGTTGAGATCGTCATAGCGATGCGTCCGCAGTGAAGATGTCTTACACCAGACGAACGATGTGTGATTTTTTTTAGAAAGCCAGCGCCACCATGTGGTTGTTTATAAAGCATTTTATGTTTTAGCTAATAACTCATGAACAGTTAGGAGTAGAAGAAACACTTTTGTCCAGTGGGTTCTTTGGATGATGCCAACTGACTCCTTAAAAACATTCCACCATTTTGGATCTTTTAGTTTTTTGCTTCTTCGTTTTACTCATCTTTACCAACATCGGTGAATTTAAATGAAGCCGAACAAGACTTATACGTTTGTGTTTAGATATCACTTATCATTTGTCTGAAGCTGTACTGTTTATTTGATTAAAGTAATAGTCACATTATTTTTATATAGGTCAGTGCTGTAGATACATGCTAGAGGTCTGTCCTGTCTATTTGATGAATATAATAGTAAAAATAATATTATTAATATTAACTTTATTTTCAAAGTTTTAGTGAAGTCCAATAATTTGACACTAACTGTCTTTCAGAGACACTTAATAAAGATTTGATTGAGTCCTTACAGATGACAGTGCTGTAGATAGAGGGCATAAGTCAGTGCTGTAGATACAGTCAGAGGTCTGCCCTGTCTATTTGATTGATATAATAGTAACAATAATGATATTATTAATATGAGCTTTATTTATTTTATAAGTTTTAGTGAAGTTCAATAATTTGACACTACAATCACACAATTAGTCCTCAGTCTTTATTTTGCTTATAACTCTTTTTCTTCTTCCGTACGTGTTTTGGACTGTTATCTTGAACACACTATTCAATTCCGACGGATTTGGGGAAATATCCTGAGATGTGAATCACAAACACTTCTTGCTGGGACGGTGGCAGCAGCAGATGCAGCAGTCAAATGCATTTTCATCAGGAAATGCAAATATTGTAGTTGTGTTTGATCTCACCTTCAGACCAGGGAGTCCACTCAGCCCAACGTCTCCCTGTCTCACACAAAGACCTCGATCAGTATTAGTGTATAGAGCTGCAACGATTAGGCAATAAATTGTGGTGTAACAGAACAGGTACCCTTATAGTACACGTGTACTTACAGGTATTCCGGGGTACTGTATAATGTTGACAGCTTGAGCTCCTCTAATTCCCTTCAGTCCTGGAAAACCCTGCAGAATAAACTGTTGTTACCATGGTGATTACATAGTAGTACACTACATATTCTGCAGTACACTGTGTACTCTGTATTACTCATATATCGGTTACATCAGGTAAACAACTTTCACAGATGTTTAATAGGTTTAAAGAGTTTGTGTTCCAAAATCAACCGAAACGTCTCGTCTGGCGTTGGGTGGATGAAAAAGGAAGAATCTTTACAAACATTAATTTTAAGAATATGAATACTACTAACAGACATAGTAACAGACTCTTAGTTAAAGAGACATTTCTAATAAGTATCTGTTATTGATCGATTGGTGACTCTGACCGGTTCTCCATCAGGCCCGTATTCTCCAGGAAGTCCAGGATCTCCTCTATCTCCTCTGGTACCGTTACATCCGTCCAGACCTGGAAAACCAGGACCTCCAGCAGGACCTGGGTGACCCTGAACACACAAACACATGCTCACAGGCTGACCTTTGACCTCATTACATCTGAGCCAATCAAAGCAGCTGAGAGGTTGAGGGGGAGGGGCTTCTTACCGGGACACCTTCTAACCCTGGAAAACCTGGAACGCCGACACTTCCCTGAAACAACAAACAGTGAAGTTACACGTTGAGACCACATGGGGACCGGCAAGACCTGTGATTGGTGTCGGCCATCTTGTCTCCAGAATAAGTTAACAACAGAACCATGGTTCTGACAAAAGAGCCGTATTTATTCACCAAGTCTCCTTTCAGTCCTGCAGCTCCCGTCGGCCCCTCATATCCTCTCTGACCCTTCTCTCCTGGAGGCCCCTGAGGTCCTGGAAATCCTGGGGGCCCCTGAGGCCCCTGCCGCCCAAGAGGACCTGGAGGACCCTACAGAGAACAAATAACACAATTAGAACCTGATACTGTAGAACCTGGTAGAATACGATAGAAACTAATAGAACCTAATGAAACCTGATGGACTCTGATACTCTAGAACCTGGTAGAACCTTTTAGAAACAGAGAGAACCTGATGGATTCAGTCCATCAGTCCTGATTCTGATAAACCTGATTATGGTTCAATCTGATACTCTAGAACCTGGTAGAACGTGATAAAATCTGTTTAAAACAAAAATAACTTATGACCTGATAGAACCAGGTGGAACCTGATGGAACCTGATACTGTAGAACCTGACAGAATCTGATAGACACTAAGAGAACTCAATAAAACTGGAGAGAAGTTGGTGGAACCTGTTCAAACCCGACAGAAACTGAAATGACTTGATAGACTCTGACATAATCTAACGTAACCTAATAGAACTTGTTAGAACCTGAAAGGAAACAATGACCAGCCACCTCCTCACGTCAGTTCTTCAGACTGATTTTGTAAAAATAGAAACCAAAAATAAAAGTAAATAAAGCTTAAACATCAAACTGGAACAAACTGTGAGGTTCTCAGAGGAACTCAACACTTATAATGGAACACACACGCAGTCAAAAATTAAAAACCTTTAACTAGTTTTAACAAGTTTTAAGTTTAGTTTGTTTTAGCAGCTCAAATAACTCACTGCCATTGTTTTGCTATTCTACTGCTGGGGAACTGGACATAAATATTGATTATATGAATGAGATTATTTGATATTGACTGATTCGTTAATAAATAAGTGGTCATATTTTCTGCCATATGACCCAATGAATTAATGAATGTGTGCGCTTTAAATGGACCAATCACAAACACTGCAGCTTCACCTTCTGCACCAACAGAACCGACAACGTTCTGTTTCCTCCACTGACTGCTGTGATGTTATCTGACCACAGGGGGGCAGTGTGCCACAACAACAACAACAACAAAAAACATCACAACGACAACAACAACAACGGATCTGCTTCCGGTTTCTGGATGTAGCTGTCAGACTCCAGCATCTTTTTTTATTTAACGGGGGAATCGCTTCATCAGCAGGTCGGTAGCTCCGTTTGTCTTTCGTTGATTAATAACACTTCACTTTGCTGTTGTTTTGCCGACCGCCAGCAACCGTAACCAGTCGGCTTTAGCACTTTTTTTAGCCGCTCCGTTACGGTGAGCTAACCACTTTCTTTAAGTCTTTCAGACCCTGAGTTAGCTCCCACTGGTTACCCTGCTAACGTTTCACTTCCCCTGTTACCTCTCTGTCTCTGTGTGTGTGTGTGTTGTAAAAAGCCTTAGTATGAGCGAAGGAGAAGTGTTTCACGAGAAGCAAAGGTTGGAGCTGTGCGCCATTCACGCACTCAACAACGTCCTCCAGGAGCGGGTGTTCACCAAGGAGACAGCCGACGACATCTGCAAACGGTAGGGCAACGATGTGACAACGTGTCGGTGTGTTACAGCGAGTGAGAGCATCAACCAGCAGTGATAATAATAACATGTGTGTCGTCTGACGGTGCACTGGCCCCTAGCCCCAGTTTGTGACCTCCATCCAATCCATGCATTACTCTGTAATTTGGTTACATAGCCTAACTTTCTCTATGTGGACGTTTTAGGGGTTGTTTTTCTTTGCTATCATGCAGCAGGCTGCTTTTTGGGGACCCCACATGTGTCTGCTTTGTGTCCAGAATGATAAAATGTCTGCTGGAGCTGACACCCAGTGTTTAAAATCCAGTATTTCCACAGAGTCTGCAGAGAGGAGTGTTGTTTTTTTCCACGGGAGAACATTTTATGACACCGGTTAGACTGTGGGTTCATTAAAAAAACAGGGTTCCCACATGTCCTGGAAAACCTGGACATTTAAAGACTAGTTTTGCAGTTATGGAAAGAACTGGAAATTGATTCAAATGATCAAATATCCTGGAAATAATCTATGTTGTTTTGAGAATTTTACGTAAAACCTGGGTTTAAGGAAAACTGTAAAAAAAAAAAATCGGCTGTAGTGAGAACAGTGGGAAGCAAGTGTCCCATTAATGCTGACCATCTACCTGTAATGAACCCAAGTGACTCATCATGAAAAAAGGAGGAATGAAACTGGGGAAAACTTGTCAATACTAGGCCTACTGGTAAATTATATGACCGTTTGTGAGGAAGTACTCTTCTGTAGTTTCAAGAAAACTCCTGGAAAGGTCCTGGAAAATGGTTCCTTCAAAGAGTGGGAACATGAACATCTAACCTGCTGCTTGATAAGTGGTGAAGGAGAAAAACATTTTCTCTAAAGGTTTGCACACAGGCAGGGAACACCATGTGACTGAATTATGGATTAACGGGGGTGTTCAGGTGGTTCTCCACACCATTGATGTATAAAGGAGAACTGAATACAACTCTGGGGATCCATTCTGTCCTATGAAAGTTGCTCAGTGGGGCACTTAGACTGTGTAATTAAAAACGGAGGTAATCTCCGTGCCGTCAGCCATAGGTTTCTGAAGAGCCGCTGTGAAGCTCAGGGTTGCATGTTGGCAGTCCTTCCTTTACCGGCTCCCGGCTAATCCAAAAATGGGCAAAGAGGTGGAGCTGAGGCGGACAGAATGAAGCCTGGTGACTGAAAACAGCTGCATATGACAGCACCCACCTGACACTCAAAGTGCCCTTCAATATATTTAACTTTAAGCCTTTATATAATTTAAATGGGTGTGTTATATAGAAATAAACCCTCCGTACAGTTGTCGTGGACAGGATATGTAGCTATAGAGACCAAAACCGTTTTTTGTACCAGGCAATAAACGTGTTTATTTCTGCTGTGAAGTTGGATATTTGCCAGCCACAGAGGTCGAAACAACCCACTTCCTTGTATAAAACAAATTGCCCCAAATCAATGCATACTGCGCATAGGTGGTGGTTTTATCTGCAAAATAATCACTGGGATAATAATAAGGTGATTTGTATAATATACTGTGTGACAAAAAAAAAAAAATTGGGTTCTGTTCAAAAATGTTATTTGTTTGTCGTCCGGTGTAACAAAAGTCTCTCCACGCTTGGCTCTTAATGTCGTTACAAAAGTGAGACGTTTCTGTATCGTATTTAACAAATATGTTATAGGATCATCCTGGGAGCACACATCACACATCACTGCCCTCTGCTAACTTAAATGGGGATAAAAGTAAAAAAAAATAAAACATTTGATTTAATTAATTACGCAGTTTGGCCACTATGTCAGATAGGCTTCCTGTGGGCTTGGTGCATGCCCTGACCTAGTTTCAGATATAGCAGTAATGCGGTTCAACTGTGTGTCAGATAAAAAGCTTTTCACTGTTTAAACAAGGAAGGCAAAATAAAACATAAATTATTGTGTTCTGTCCCATTGCTATTGACGATAAAGTTAAGTTTCCACAACAAAAGCCATTGTATGTAGTGTGGCTATTGTTTACGACGCCATTTACTAATTTAATTGTCCAGATGAGTGGTGGTCTGGGTAGCTTATGACCTGGACTGAAGAATGTCTTGCTGGAAACCCTGTGACTCTATTGACTCACAGAAACTTTTGTCCTGGTTGTTATGAACAAATACGTTTTATTCAAATGAAGGGCAGTTCTGAAAACAAATGCTGCTGTATTCCAGTTGAATCACTGTGGACATTGGACATTTAAATGCAGAGTGTAGATATATTCATACAGAAAAGAGAGCCAGCAAAACCTCAGAGCGGTCCTGATTGCCAACAGTCCTGGCAAGAGGAGGCCTTGCTGCTAATAGCCAAACTTAAAACTGAGCTGTACCAATTTAAAGGTGGATTTTCCCTCTCTGCAGGCTGGCTCCACAGTGTGTGGTGAACCCTCACCGCTCAGTGTTAGGCACGGGAAACTATGACGTCAACGTCATCATGGCGGCACTACAGAGCAGGGAACTGGCTGCAGTGTGGTGGGACAAACGCAGGTGAGACACACTTAAGAAACTTCAAGCTTCACTACAGTAGCATGTGTTACTGAAACCTGAGAAGTAAGAAGCAGTCAATCCCAAAACACACATTTCCGGTCTTTTTCAGTTTTTAAGTGCATTTCTCTGATTTCAATGGGGAAAAAAAGCAAAAGATGAATAGGTTTGTTTGGAGTTTGATGTTTAAATAGCTATTCAGAATGTCTCCAAGCATCAGCTCTTTGTTTCAGGCAATCAGAAAACAGATGCATCTTACAGAGATACTGATTTCTGGATAAGCAGTAGACCATAATGCTTGACCATCATGCAGTGTAACCTCAAGGCATGTTGCACTGTAAACAAGAGGCGTGACTCACTTTTTACTCACACTCAGTTTTACCAGCTCCAGCTGCATGATAAAATTAGGATTTTATTTGGGGAAATTTAGGAAGTTAGTAATTGTAGCAGAAGTAGGTGAGTCAGGTTGAGGTCAAATGGGTAGTCTAATGCAACAGTTCATAGTAAACTAAGAATATCTCTAATATCTCTCATACAGGACGGTTCAGAGCCTTTGCATGTCAAAGGTCCAGGGTTTTATTCTCAATGTCCCATCACGAGTATCTCTGGGGATCGTGTCCCTCCCACTCCGGCGGCGGCACTGGCTCGCAGTCCGGCAAGTTAACGGACAGTACTACAACCTTGACTCCAAACTGAAGAGTCCTGTCTGTATTGGGGGAGAAGCAGAACTACGGTAGGAATCTACATTTGCATCTTTCATTTGCATCTTTAAAACGTTTCCAGACAAGTAATCTCTGTGTGTGTTCTGAGTTACATCAAAACTTGGCGTTTGTGCGCTGCTTGAACTCGGTCTCAGCGAGTGAGTCATCCCATATGAGTGGTCACATGGGGCTTACCTCACTGTTTGTTTGTTGTTAGAAAGCTGCACTCTAGTAATCTGCCCACTGTCTGTGTCCAGACTTTTTCTAACATATTCTCTTCTGTCATCCCTTGTTTCTCTTCCAGCACATTTCTCAGTGAACAGCTTTCTCAGGACGTGGCAGAGATGCTCCTGGTTGTCCGGCGGGAGGTGGAGGAGGACGGTTCATGGCTGAACTCTGACAACCCCAAGAAGTGATGTCGGGAGTTACCTTTTACATAGCATGGAAAAAAAAAAAACCTCCTCTGGGAAAACAACGGACAGTTTTTTTTAAAGAAAAACAAACACCTCATTACAGAAAACTCTTCAGGGAATGCACTAAAATACATTTAATATCTACACACAGACACACAGAGGAAATTCCAAAGAGAAGCAGAGACGGACGTTTTACTCCTGAAATGGAAAAACTGTTTTAATGGTAAAAGCTATTACTCTGACGTGACCCATGTATCAGCGTTGTCCTGCTCTTGGTACCTTTGTTTTAACACTGGGAAGGTGCATCTAAGCTAACACAGTCTGAGGCAAATATGGGCTAGTTTGGTGATACTTGAGTTCTGACATATGACTGAGCTTTCACTGTTTGGTGGTAGGAAAATTGCAGTGTTTGTGCACAAAAAGCCATCTGCAATAAGGATAACTGGACTACATTGATTACTAAAATATGATGAGAAATGAATGAATTTGCCATGTAAGGTATCATCGTCTTAGACCTTTTACGACTCGGTCGCCAAAATGAGATCATGTACTGTACGTACAAGACGGGCGTGTCAAAATCGATAAGCTATTAAGCAGCAGCTGAGTGCACCACCTCTTCCCAAGTTTTATTGTAAACCTTCTATGCACTGCAGAGTTAGATTTGCTGGCACTGTTTGTCTTTGTGTGCTCATACAGGCACGGGTACGGTGACTGCATCACCCGGTGAGGCTTTGAAGGACTACCAGTGTCTTTTGCATGTTTTTATCCATTTACTAGACATGCGTGCCACATTTTTTTTAGATTTTTAAACATGTTTTTGTTCTCCTCGAAGCAGCTTTTGTTTTCCTTTCATGTGGCTCCAGCATAAAACAAACTTGCAGAGATTTGAAATGTGGTTGAGATCAATAATCCATCAGATTGTCAGCCTCCTTTTTGCTTTTGTTGTGTTATTGATGTGTGATAATGCAGCTGAATGTGCGCGGTAATGAAGGTTTGACAAAATGAAACGAGACGTGACTTTGATTAGGATGGATTATCCATCTCAACCCAGGCTTCAAGTCTCTACAGGTTTCACGCAGCTCTGCCACGAATGAAAGCCAGTGGTTGTGTGAAAGTTGGGAAGATTGCTTTATTTGAAAGTACACTAGTTCTTGATTTAGTTTAGTAAATGAGTCAAACATGCAAAAACACTGGTTCTGTGACTGTATGTAACCTTTATGTTTGTATTTTGTCTCTCCTATTGATCTATGCATATCCAAAAAGAATAGGAGGACTGTCTCTGGTACACACTAGTGAATAACTTACACATACACCTAAGCTGAGAGGTTCATATTATTGGTTCATATTATTGAAGCTTATTTATATTAAATGTTGACCTCCTGTTTTAAGTATGAACCTATTGTAAAGCATGCTGTGTGTTTTGTTATTTGCATTGACTAGTAGACACGACGAAGACCAGGTGAAGATTATTGAAGTTATTTTTATTTATATTAGACTCTTGAGTGTAAAAGGATGCCATTCAAAAGGAGCATTGATAACCATACAAACTCAATTCAAGGGTTAACAAGGTCAGTTGGCTAGGATGGGGGGGATTCAATGAAATCTCCAACATACCATACCATATATACACAAAACATCTTGGAGAGATCTCAGAAACCCAATGCTATACATAGTTATTATTGCTAGTTACGGTAGGGCTACTGCAGCACCAGTAGCAAGAATCATATTGCTATGTACCTGCTGTCATTGCATGGGATTTGTAGTTCTCCACTCTTAAGACTGGAGTGGCAGTTGTAGTTCTCCGTTCAATCATTAAAACAGGGTCTTGGTAGCCCTCAAGTATTTTTTGTAAGAGCAAAGGTTCATGATTATTCAGATATTATAGACAGTGAGATATACAGAATACCATAAGGTAATACAAGGAAAATACAGAATTGCCACCTATAAAAAGTAATAATAAAAAAAATGATACCAAGTGAAGGAACTGCATAACCATTCACAGAAAAAAATGTGTCTTGTTGCTACGTGCCAGTGCTTTTCTACAACAATATTTATATAAAAACTTAAAAATAAATTGGTGGTACTGATACATTTAAGAATATAAAACTACAACGTAGTAACGTCAATACCATTCTGACTTGCCTCACCACTGTTCACAGTTTACACAGAGTTTGGACAGACAAGGGAAAGAATTTAGACCAAGTGGACTTGGTTCATACCTTTGCACAACCATCCTATCAGCATTATCGCTGTCGGTTATATCAGCAGTCCATTTAGACCTGTTTCTTTTAAGTGCTTCTAATAATAATATTCAGTGGTAATGACGTTACGCACTTTGAATTCACACCTAGCATTCATTTTATGTAGATTAATTTCATTTTCATTTCAGTAAAGTGTCCATTCATATGAAAACTAAACATTTTTTTTTTTATACATTTCCTAACAAAAAAATAATAATCAACGTGAATACAGGTTCCGCGAATGGGCAGGGTTGGGGTGTGATTGACTTCCCCCATAACCAGTCAGCATGCTGGGAGAGTACTGTACATCCAGAACGGACGATGGGATTCAGGAGAGAGGTTGACGAGGTCCGAAGGTGTGTTGAGAGGAAATATAAGAGAAGAAGACAAATATTTATTATTCGTGCATGTGAAGGTCAACTCATCGAGAGTAGCTGAGAGCGAGTTTTGCTCACTATCTGACCAACAGGCATTAGAATTTTATTTTTTTTTAGTACAAAAAAAAAAAAAACCCTCAGTCCACTTACTAGCTTTTCCCAGATGTCAGCTGCACCTCATGGTCTTCCTCAAAGCATGTAGTTTGCTCACTTTTCATGAAGATAATTAAAATGTCTTAATGAGACTGAGTGATTGGTCATGTGATAAACTGTGGTAATTTATGGGGTGGGGGGGTTGCAACTCTAGACTTTATCTGCCGAAGAAGACCCTGAAATGCGACTGAAAGCTACAGGAAAATATAGTGAGGGGAAGGTTTGTGTTTTTTTCCCACTTTTGGCAAGTTCATTTTCTTATTGTCAAGAATGAACCAGGAAGAATAAGTATAGGTACTGAATTTTAATTTACCTTCCGTTTACAGTCAAAAGTCATGGCCTCTTACTACTCTGAAGCTTTCAACTGCATCTCCTGGTCTTCCTCAGTGGATGGAGTTTGGTCTGTTGTCATGGAGATAGCTAAGTGGTAATCTGAAAATTTTGTCACTTGATAACCGTAACCTAAAGGTCTTCCACTGAGGAAGACCATGAGATGTGATTGAAAGCTGTAAAAAAAAAACCCAGTAAAGTTACCTTGAGTTGGGATTTTGTCGAGTTCAAGAATGAAGTTTCACACTGAAAGTTCATATTTTTCATTAATTCAAATTGTTATGGCCAAGGTGTTCTGTAAAATGGTCAGATAGTGATAATAAAACAGCTCTCAGATTTATGTTAGTAAGAAAGAATTAATTACAAGTCAATTAGTCACAGTGGAAATATGTACATTTTCTGCATCAAAAAAGAAAAGAAAGGGCCAGCCTACAGGGTCCTGCAAGGTCGGAGCCCCGCCTCCATGTTAGTCCCGTTTGCTACTGATTATTAAAGCGAGCGTGTGCACTAACAGCAACGATAAAATGGCACAGATTGCGATGGTGTCACAAGTACAGAGGAACTCACAGAGGGGGGTGGGGACTGCCTGTCAGTCAAGGGGAGGCTCTCATAGCCAGGGTTGCCATTGGAGGAAACGTTTGGAGTCCTGTATAGAGATAGAAAGAGACAAGGACAGAAGAGAGAGGGAGAGGAGGAATGGAAGGATGAAGAAGAAGGGAAACAGGGGTGAGACACATTGAGAACAACAGAGGGGGACGGGGGGCCGCGGGGTGACGGGACCCAAAGGACAAGTAACAGGAAAGAAGGAGAAAGAGCGGTTAGAAATATAGTGCGGAAAAACAGCACTCAGTGTAACTAGTAGGTATTAGTACTGCTGGCACTCGAGCGAGGCACTGTGAGCACCAGCATCAGACGTACAGACCACTCCTGACTGAGGATGCACTGCAGGATTTATACAATAATCTGCAATTACATGCATTTGGAGCTGGGTGTGACTCACCAGTCTCATTTTAGCTGTAATGTTGTTTTCCTAATGAATCTGTTTATCTGCACGATAAACCCCAGAAAGCTTTTAAAGCAATCCCGAGCAGATTCCATTTAAGAGGAGTGGACTGTATTTGTATTGCTAGCTGAGTTTCTGAGACTTGACAGTTAAGTTTACTCTCTTATTTTTTGTGTTATTATTTGATATGGGAGCAGTTAAGATGATCAGCTGGCATTAGAATAGGAAGTTAAATAGTCCACGAAATTAGGCTTCTGAGAGCACTAACTAAGCTTGGAAACACCAGTGAGGGAGAAAAGGGGAAGAAACATAATAAGATGAGAGAAGTGAAAGTGAGAAAGAAGGGAGAGAACCAAAAAAGGAAGCAGGAGGTTTGATGAAAAGAGAAAAGCAGTGAGGACAGATAACCGGAGAGGTTTGGACACCACAGTGAGGAAACAGATGAGAGTGATGCAGGAGGGTGTTTGGTGGGGTGGAGGGTGGGGGAGGGGTTACCTATAGTCAACCTGAGCCTCACATCGCCGGAGTTTTTACGAGCGCGGCCTCGTCAATGACACCCTCCCTCCAACACAGCAGTAGTCTACTACTGTTTAGGAGACAGGACGCCATTTGAGACAAGAATCTGTGAAATGACCGAGCGGCCTACATCGTCTGTCCGGAAACACTCGACAGACGAATAGACAGACACACAGACAGACAGACAGACCTCTGGAGTTGTGTCTGTTTCTCTGCCTACACTGTAGTCCATATTGACCTGTCTGTGTGTCTGTCTGCAATGCATGTGCTTAACCTGACAGCTCTGTGGATTTGTCCTAATCATACATGTCTATGGACAAAAGTGTGTGAACCTAGCTGACTGTACTGCACTGCCACTGCTCTCTTGTAAAGATACATGTGCATTGTGTCCAAAATCTGTATGTCATAAATACAATTTAACTGTTTTGAGGGGCAAATCTGTGATTTCAAGCTGAATGTATTCACCAAAAAGACTATGTGGCTGCACAAAAGTGTCTCTATAGTGCTCAGTCAGTCTCTGTGTGTGTGGTACTCTGTGTTGTCATACTACATCCTGGACTTTTTTACAATCCCTGCTCCTGGAGGGGGAGGCATCAGTATAAAAGTTGCCCGTAGGTACAGATCTCGACACAGAAACATGAGCTTGATGCCAACCTCCTCCTCCTCCTCCTCCACCTGCAACATCTGGGACCTTCTGTCTGTCTGTCTGTCTTTGTGTCTGTGTGTCTGTGTTACTCACGGGAGGGGCGGCGCGCTAGAAAAGGGGGGTGTCCACCCGGCCCCCGGGTAATTATAGAAGGGGGCCATGGCCCCTCGCTGAGACCCCGAGGCCGTCTGTCTACGTGCCTGATGGGAGGTGAAGGGGTCCTCACTCTCGCTGTCCGAGTCTTCGTACTCCTCTGATTCACTGTCGCCGTCCATGAAAGAGAGAGAGACACGGACATGTGTGAGCAGAGAAATGATGACTGTTCTGTTATAGTTTCCTTATTCAGTATCTATTGATCTGTTTTTAATTAAAATATCTTACAAGACAGCTCCATTTATTCTCATGGTCATGATTAGTTAAACGTTAATATTCCAAGAAAAACAAAAAACAAAAAACTCAACCTGGGGTCCGGGGTCCTTGAGAGGTTCCAGGGGTGTCCCCAGATAAATGGGGAATATTTTAATTTAACCATTATTTAATTGACTAGAAGCCCACTGAGAGAATGTATAAAAATTTTGTTCATAGGTTTCATAGGATCCCAGAGACTATATCTTATCAAATACGGGTTCTGCGGCCTGATGTGTATCAGTGATGTTTAGTAGGGGGTCCTTGATACCAAAGATGTTGAGAACCGCTGAGCTACAGGGAACAGGCAGCAACAATCATAAACTCCCTAATCTCTTGCTGTTAGCTAATGACACTTTAGATTTCAGCGTAACTGGAACAACTGTTCAACATCTGCTCTCAGGAGAGCCAACAAACATGTGCCACTGCTGCCAAACTCCTGAATACTAAACTACTGATGTTCAAGCAGCAGTGGGTTGAAGACAGCCAAACCTCCAGCTGTTATAGGTAGTTTTTATGTACTGCTGCAGTATTACCCTTTTATCACTTCCATTCTGCATGTGCCAATATTCATTATAAACCTTTCAGGGCTAAATTTGGACCAAATATTTCTGATGCATTACAATATTTTCCCATTTTATGAAAGGAGGAGAAGAGGAGTATATGTTCTCCCCGACACTGTGGAACAAAATGGATTTACACTCTTGGCAGTGTTTATGCTACAG